CCATCAGAGTCCTTCATAGTCGTCCTTGGTAGTTTACGGTAGTCGCTGGTAGACGCACGGTTAGTCAAAGTAATTCGTACAGAAGTTTGTACCTACTCAGTATCAAGTTTGCATTACTTCTGCATCGTCATCGCTTGAGTTCGACGTGCGTCACGTTACGATCTAAAAAGACGCACACTCGACGTCGAAATAAATCTTGTTGAAGTTAAACACCGGAATACTTTACTAACACCCAACACGTCCTTACCATCTCATGACACTAAAACGCATCCAATCATGTTCTGTGTCATGAAAATTTTGCAAGTAAACGATCGAATCACGAAAATGCTGTTCTATCGTTCATTTATCGCGTATGAGGTGGCTTTTCCAGCGAGATTCTAAATATCAGCCATTCACGTATTATCTGTCAAATTAATTTTGCGCCATTGATTTAAAAAGTAAACTAGCACGAAGCGATTAATCCAGCTCAGGTACGAAATATGTGGTCGAAACGATGTCGTGAAGCTTCGAAACTCGTAGTTCGATCAATGAAGCGAAACTGTAGAAGCACGAACGACACAAGTGCCCTTTTCGACGATCGGAACGATTCCAAGTTCTTCTCCGTACGAAGACTCAGGCGAATCTGACTGCTTAACGATTCTGATCTTGCGAGACCCGCGCGCAAAGTTGCTATAGTATTCTATAGTATCCTAGAAAGCGTAACTATACCTATACAGGATGACTCACCGAAAGCGAGCTACGTAAATCTTCCAATTTTCAATTCTTTCAATTTGCGAGATACAGAGAAATGTTTGAAACAAAAGCTTTAAAGTTGGAAAGTTCACTAGGATTTTTCATAGTGGCTTACAAGGAACGAGCGAACAATGTCCGTATCATTTCCCCGAAAAATGATGGGAAAATTGTTAAAAATAAATTTTTCAACTCCAAGCGATACTAAAAATGACAATTTTTTTACATTCTTCTTTCTGATCATCATGCTCCTAAGACATTGCGAACATTATTTCATGCAGAGTGTAATTTATTGCTAATCGGAGGGAACGAGTGATACCTAGGCGACGTATAATTGCTTGGATGGTATAATTTGGCAAGATTGCGAAATTTTCTTTTACGCGTAACTTTCAACTGTATGATACGTTTCGTACTGATAACTTCTTTTCCCCAAAAACTTTTTTGACAATTGCTAACGAAAATTCTAACGTTTTTCAAAAGCAAAGCCTTGCTCGTTCACATATACTTGAAATGGATTTTCTAATCTTTGCCATATTAGTTATTTTATTATACAAGAAAACGCTTATAAATATTCTGAAATATCTTGTGATTATACGTAGAGATTTGACAAACAATAATCTCATTGAATCACTTTTATAGCAGGTTTTCTTCCGATGTATTTTTCACATTCTGAATTGAGATATATTGATAATAAGTGTTTTTGTGATCATATTTCTACATTTAGGACTATTTATTTTAAAAGTATTGCAAGTCCATTTTCCTCCGTTTTAAGATATTCAAGCGATTGCGTTTCCATCAATTGAAAAATCTTGATAACATCTGCTTAGTTTATCCCTGTCTCTGTATGTTCAAATAGATGGATTTCACGATACAAATATTTTCTCTGAGAACTAACTAGGCTAGGAAGAAACTGGTGAATTGTACAATTCATGAAATTTTAATTATTTAAAATCTTGCGCTTTAATCCACGTTTGTTTATAAATATATGTATGTTTATAAATAAGAGCAGGGAAAACAAAATACTGTTGTTTCACTTTAATATTTATTTGTTTACTGTAACAATATGCTTGTTAAAACACTTGTAAAATTAGTATTAGGTACTTCCTATTCTTCATTTCTGATCGTTGTGTACAAATGTTCTGAAATTCTTATCATACACGGGACGTATGACTTAATCATATCCTTATATTCTAATATAATGTAATAGCTTCATCATATCCTTATATTTTTTGCGTGTAATTGGCCTAACGTTTTTATACAAAGATATTAATGTGATGTCTTCCGGTTAGTGATAAATCTAGTTTCTGCAGATTATGAATAATACAAGATTACAGATTATTTCTTAGATTACAGGGAACGGACTTACATCCCTGAAAATTAAATTCATTAAAATAAACGCATATTTTGGCATTTAAATTATGAATAGCTTATAAAGACGTTAAATTTAATGTAATGTCGTTTCCTCAATTTTTTCAAAAAATAGTCTTACAATATTTTCAAAATAAATGGTCCATTTATTCAGCGAAATATCGTTACTTTGAATCTGACGAGATGGCTGTCGAATTGATATAATAACTACATATTGGAATTAATGAGAGAAAATTGCAACAATGGAATGCGGTAGAGCTACTCGTATTCGGATACTGTGTTGATATCCTGTGATTTGAATACTTCATTATCGAATGTAATATTTCTAGTATGGGATGCCCTTTCCCGTTGCCGTTTCAAATACACTCGACCGAATATATTTTGATTATAAGAATTTAGTATGAAAGTAATAACGTTCTAACTATCGAAACTGTCGTAAATACGACGCAATTAAAAAGCTCGAAAGTGGTGTAAGTGTAACAGAACTGGTAAAAATGATGGTGTTGGAAAGGCCGTCGTGATGGGCATCACAAACGAAAACAGAATATTGAAAATTATCCAAAGCGTGTAGATTTCTTTACTGCTGACAACAGCAGAAGAAACCTAAATAAACTATTGCAATGAAATAGTTTCAGTGCTAGAATGAGTAGATTACTAGAAGGAACAGATGATAATTTCATAGAAACGGAAACAGCAAACAAAAGCGATAATGGAGAAGTGTCTTTTTGTGACACTCGAAAAACTGCTTCGACGGTTCAAAGTGCAAAGACAAAGTAACTCTATGATGTTATATCTCTTGAAAGAATTATGACAGGTGGCAGTCAAAACGATATGAAACTCATAAATATTTAAGGAATCTGTCAATTAATCTAAATCTTACGATCACAAATTCCATTATAGCTTTTTGTTAAACTTGAAATAATATATTCTACAGATTATAGGGTTCTCACTATGTCATTTTTCTTACAAAATACAAATATTATAATTCGAGTATTTAAAGACGAAAGAAACGGAAGAAATGAATTTGATCTCCGATACGTGTGTTATAATATGTAATATGAATAGAGTATCGATTGTGAAATTATATTTTTCCAAATGGCAAACAACGAACCTCGACTTTCTGAAGGTTGAAGTATCTAATACTGTTTATTCATAAAATATTCAAGAAACATTTTAAGATCAATACCTTCTATACGTTTATGTTAATCTAATAAACAGACATGTTTGATGTTGCTGAGTAGAGGAATCAAATTTCCGTTATTTCGATCCGGAGTTTCCTTGATCCCATCACTTTGCTAGCATTGGATGTAGACTTGTGCTGCATAGATACGCTGAACTTGTACCAGCTTTCATACGATATAACATTATAAGTTTCACTGCTAAACTAGGATGCCAATGGTGAGAAAGCTTACGCGCAAACGTTTAGTTTCAGCGAATCGTACAAATAAAAACACCAAGTTAAACTTGGGCTTAATTGTTACAGAGTTTATAGAAACATTAACGTTCTGATACGTCAGGTTACGTTCCATTTATAAAACAGGTCACCTTCAAAAGCAGCAAATGATGCATTTTTTTAATTTAATTTCACCGTGTCGGAAATATTTATAAACGAGTCATTTTCAAATAATTGAAAAAGTGCGAAAAGGTTAAGACATACTCGCGTCTTCCTTTCGATATGGAACAGGTGTCCTGCCATATTCTGTATCCAGGTCACGTCACGTAATTGAGTAACCTTGAAACGTATTCTCCTTGAAAAGAAGCAGAACAAAGCCTTCTATAGCGATATATAATATTTTGTGACATCGATGCTGACACTAGAAATACTTTTTTTTTTATTAAAGATGTTTATTAAACCCAAGATACAAATTTTTAAATACCTTTTAGTGTTCACAGTTTGGTGTTCACAATAAACGGTGAATTTTTGTAGTGATGTTTTAGGCAAAAGTACCGATACGCAACGGTACGACTAGCCATGCTATATGTGTCGGCGCTTTACATTTTTCGTGTTTAATATGATTTTTAGGTTTAAGCCGCTGGGGAGCGGAGCTTCTATGTGATTTTGTTTTTGTTTGTTTTTTCTGTCCTGAAAACTTGCTTGCAAAACAGGACGCTTCGGTCTAAAGATAGAGAATTTTTTTTTTTTATTTAAAGATGTTTATTAAACGAGGGATGGGGGGGTGTCAAATAGGATTATTTACAAGTGTTTATAATATTTACAAATATTTACAATATTTACACCTGTGTTATGCGGTGTCAGAGTTGTGTTCTGTTAGTTTAATGTTTTCTCTTATTTTGCTATGGGTTCTGTATCCACCAGTACTTTTTGTGTTTTGTCTTTGGTGTCTTTCCGGGGGAGGGCCATGTTGTATCTCCATCTGGGGTCTGCGGTCTGTTCATTTATGTTTTCTTCATAAAGTATGGTTTTGATCCCTGTTTTTTTTTTATGTGATATATTATTGGGATGTTGTTTTGATCCTGGAGGTAGTTTTTTTCGTCTAAGTATAGGAAGGCTTCTGGGGCGATGTGGCCTGTTGTTAGAGTGTTTTTGTAATATGCGTTGTTAGGAAATAGGTAGCTGAAGATTAAACTATTTTCTTTTATCTTGGCCACTTGCGCGAAGTGGTTTCTTATTAGCTTTAGGATATGGCAGTCGATGCGGTGAATGTTGGCTAGTTCGTATATTATTTTGTTTTTTACATATTTTTTGAATCCGCTGTGTTCGGATCTGTAAGTACTCAAGCAAGCCCTGATGCATTTTCTTTCGAATATGCGAATTTTTTCCATTTGGGAGGCTGATATGTTGTACCAGATTGGGCAGCCGTAGGTTATGATCGGTCTGATTAGTGCTTGATAGCATAGAATTTTTACTTTGCTGTCGAGATGTTTGGAGTAGAATAGTTTTTTTATTTTCCAGAATGCTTTTTATTGGCCTTAGTAAGTTGAATTTCGGTGTGCTGCTTGTAGTTTAATTCATAGTCTATGTTTACTCCTAGGTATTTTACGCAATTTTTGTGTGGTATGAGACTCCCTTTGTTTGATTTTTCTCTTACTTGGAATTCTTTGCAGTGTTCTCTTTCTGTTGGGCCGATTTCACTTAACTTGGGTCTGAACAGTATGGTTTCGCATTTGCTTGTGTTGATTTTTAGTTTCCATGCGTGGTAATAGTCGTTTATTCTTTCGAAAAGTTCTTGCAGTTCAGTTTTTATTGTCTTCGTTTTGCGGCCTGTTACGTAGATGATTAGGTCATCTAGGTCGTCTGCGAAGGCTATGGAGCGTTTGTGGGTGGATGTATTGAGATTAAAGAGGTTCAGTAAGTCACTGTTGTAAATACTGAAATTTACTTAAAATTTTGCTCAATTTCTTGGGGAATTTACTGTACCTTGTTGCAGACCGTTTGTTATGGAAAATTCTTTACTTGATGTGTTTGCACCTTCGGTCATTACGAATGTTCTGTTTGTGATCATGTCCCAGACTATTTTAATTAGGTGTTTAGAAAGGTTTATCTTGATCAATTTGTATATGAGACCTGGGATCCAGACTGTGTCAAAAGCTTTTTCGAGGTCTATTAAGCAGGCGGCTACTCTTTGTTTTGCGTTTAGGGCCCAGCAGATGCCCGACGTAAGTTTGTTTATTGCGTGGATTGTGGAGTGTTTGTGCCTGAAGCCAAATTGATTTTCTGGAATTATGTCATTTTTTGTGCAGAAGGAGGTTAGGGGGTTGTTTATGATTATTTCAAATACTTTGCTTATGTTGGGGAGGAGACTTATGGGTCGTAGGTTTGCGGGCGATGAGCCGTCTTTATCCTTTTTTGTTATAGCTATCAATTTGGCTTTTTTCCATTTTCTGGGAAAATATGTATTGTTTAGAGCATTGTTGAAGAGTACTGTGTAGTACCATTTTATTTTGTTCGGTAGGCGCTTGAGTAAAATGTTTGGGATGCCGTCGAAGCCGGAGGATTTTTTGTTGTTTAGTTTGGAGAAGATTGTGTTTAGTTGATTGTAATTTGTGAAGTAGTTTATTTCTGGATCTGGTTGTTTGGGGTTGTCTGCGGTGTTTTCGTTTGAGAATGTGCAGACTGTTTTGTTTAGCGTTTTGTCTTGTTCCATTTCATTTTTGAGTTTGTTTGTTTCGGCGATGATAATTCTGTTTAGTTGATCTCGGCCCATGCGTTCGTTTTGTGTATGTATTTTGGAAAAGTGGGTGTCTAGTTGATGATCCGATGATGTCTAGTTTTTCTATTGTTTTAGGTATTATGAAGTTACCCTCGGTGTCTTTGATGGTGTTGTGTCGTTATACCTGCTTCTTGGATGAGGGAGGCATTTTCTGAGGGCAATTTGAGAGGTGGGATGGGGTTTTGTTCTTTTGGTCTAAAGATTTGATTTATTTGTGGAAACATGTTGGCTGAGTCGTTTTTGGAGATGTTTTTTATTTTATTTGTCCAGTAATGGTTTATAGAGTTTGCGAATTCTTGTTTCATTTGCGCTTTTATTTTGTATAGTAGGTACTTTGGGAATTCTAATTCTTCTCTTTTGTCGTAAGAATAGTTAAGTTTTATGTTGTTTATCTTGGAGATTATGTAGCTTTTGTCTCGATGTAGCTCTTTTATTTTGTTGTTGATATAGGGCTCGCATGAGTTTTTTTGTTTTATGTTTGGCACAGATTTTTGAAGAGCGGTTTGGAGAGCAGTTTGTGTATGTTTTTCTATTTCGTCTATGAATGCGTCGATTTGTCTGTTTGTTAGGTTGACGTTGTTGCAGATCTTTAGGTCGCAGTTTTGTTCGAGTATGTTTTGGAACTTTTTCCAGTCTGTCTTTTTGTAGTTGTACCTGGGTATCTCGGTCTGTGTTTCGAGTGTTAGGAGGTCAGATGTGTTCTTGCTTACGTGAAATATTAGGGCGTTATGGTCACTGTCATAGGCTAAGGTTTTGAGGGTGTTATTTGGACATAGGTTTTGAAATTTTAGTCGTGCATCTGCTAGGCATATGCCCAGGTATGAGCGTCCTTTTGGGTAAGAGGGTAGCTCGGAACTGTATAAGGTTGTTTTGTAGTGAATGCTTTTATTGTCTAGCCAGTTTCTAATGAAGTTGCCTGATGTCGTGTTGTTTGTTTTATTTTGTGACATCTATGTGACATCTTGTGATCATTTAGAACAAAAATCGATTTCGCTAGAAATTATCATCCGAGTTGCGTATGAGCAAAGGGAGTATACGAGGTATTAAAAATGCTGAAACATTGCATTTTTGGCGGAGTTCCGATTACACCTCAAGAAAAATCAAGTTAAACTCCTGTTAAATCGCTTCACGCACTGCGGAACCGTTTAAGTACCGTGACAACGTCGCCTTCACTACACATACATATACATACACATACGTACATAGTTGTACGTGAATATATTCAGAAATAACAGTCAACTAATTGTAATCAATCTACCTCCTCCAATCACACATCACGAGAGCCAATAAAATTGGATACACCCAAACTTAAACAATTTTGCTCAATTTCACAACACGTAAACTTGGTTACTTCACCAATGGAGACGAGTGAACAATCGGAAATTAGCCTTTATATGTATTTGGCAAGTTATCAGGTTTGATCTCATCAAAACCAAGGTCACAAATGAGAAAACTATATTCTACATCTTCGACGTATGCTTGTATGTAAAATAATCTCCTATCTGGCTATATCACGCGTCTTCCATAATCTGCATACAGACTGAAGCAGGTTATGATACTTAAAAATGTCGCAGTATTACATCAGCAGCGGATGTGGAACAATTCTAGCACAAATTTTCCGCATTCCCAAATCATTTTTTGAAATCAAAGGCGGAATTGTTGAACTTGTACTAAGCTCCTGAACGATAAAACTGTAAATAGTCGATTTGGAAATGTAAGTTTATGAACACGTTTCATGTTTTCATTGGAGTGCGAGGTAGAAGATCGACTCTCGCGAATTATCATCTTTCGCATCTTCTTTTTCCTCTTGAAACCATTCCAGCTTTTGTGAATGTTTGCCGGCGTCATAGTATTCATCCCACGCTGCAATGCTTTCTATGCTTCTTTTAGCGTATGAACCACTTCAGTTCCTTTTTTCGAATTTAACGAGATATTTCGCATTGATGCGTTATTCTTCAGTAACAAGATAACGAGACATTTTTAAGTTGTGTGACGGCTGAAGGCACATCGCCATACTAAAGAAGCGTTGCTGCAAGCAACGGCTTATCGCAGACTCGCGAAATTTGGTCTGTTTATGGATAAGGTCATAGATTGTATTCTCTTCGCCCGATCAAACTGCCGCAATGTTACTGCGATGACAGTAGAAAAAATTATTCTACCAGCTTTTTGCTAAATGTTTGCCGGCGTCATAGTATTCACCCCACGCTGCAATGCTTTCTATGCTTCTTTTAGCGTATGAACCACTCCAGTCCTCTTTTTTCGAATTTAACGAGAAATTTTGCATTGATGCGTTATTCTTTAGTAAAACAATCACCAGACATTTTTAAGTTATGTGACGGCCGAAGGCACATGGACATACTACAAGCAGCGGTTTACTATAAACTCGTTAAATTCGATCTGTTTATGTATAAGACGGTACACTGTATTCTTCACCCGATCAAATTGCCGCAATGTTATTACTATAACAGTAAAAAAAGCTATTCTACCACCTTTTTGGTAAATATTTGCCGGTGCTATAGTATTGTTTCCACGCTTCTATGCCTTCTATGCTTCTTTTAACGTATGAATCACCTCAGTCCCTTTTTTCCAATTTGATAAGAAATTTCGCATTGATGCGTTATTCTTTAGTAAAACGATCGCCAGACATTTTTAAGTCGTGTGACGACCGAAGGCACATCGACATATTAAAGAAGTTGTTATATGACAAAAATAGGAAAGAGGTGTTCGCACTTTCGGACGGCTGGCCCAGATCCTGGACCCGGGCGTGGTAAGGATTGTTCAACTCGTAAAGGTTTCAGAGTTCCGAGTAATTGGAATCGGTATTTCGATCACAAAGAAGGAGCTCCAAAATGCTTCGGCATTGGCCGGGGGGGG